CCTCCAAACTTCATGTGATGAGACGTTGCGAACAACTTTGGCGCTGCCAGAGGGGTCGTCGTCATCGGCAGACTGATTGATATATGCGGTGCCTTGCAGGGGTGCCCGTGCATATCGTGCCACGCACGCGTCAATCTGATCTTGCTGGGCCTTAGTCAGGACGCTCGCTTCGAGTCCCGAGGTAGCCGCTGCCAGTACTTGACGTCTGAAAACCATTCTACGCCGCCCAAGAGATCTGCAATTATTTCAAAAATATCCCATGTTGCGCCAGCCACGCGCAGCAACAATACACCGCGCCTTGAGTTCGACGTGTTTGTGGCCGTTGGCCTGCATGGTGGAGCCTAGGAACACCGTCGAAGGATGGACTTCGCCGTCGACAGGTACCTTGCGGCAATGTAGGGCTCGTGAATATCTGCGGGCGCCAGTGCCAACAGACGTCGGTCGTGCCGCTTTTTTCCCCGCATTCTATTGCAGACCAATAGTGCTCAGCTTGTCGTTCAAGATCTGGTCGGAGCGCTGTGCTTTGTAGGCTGACATCTGCGCGTCGTGACACAGGAGGGCGCTGGTGAGGTCGCCGGCATACTTGCAAATGCCGAGGTCGACGTTGGTGCCCGTGAACTCGCACCCCGCTATCATCGAGGTGCTCGCGTCAGTAGTAAGCTCGGCATTCCAAGCAGTGGTGGGCGGCATGAAGGGCGCGCGAAACTTTATCGCGGCGTCGGCGTCGCCCATGAAGCAGCCCGCAGTGTTCTGGCATCCTCGAGTGTCAATCCCGTCGCTGATCACACACGCTGCTCGACGATGTCTGCCTTTCATGATAGTGCAATCACCAGGGAGGTATATCTCGTCCACTGCGGCGTCTAGGTGAGAGTGGTCCACCGATGCGAAGGCCTTCGTCATGTCGCGCTTCGTGGTGATGTGGCTCCGTAGCTGCTTGGTAAGTCGCCACTGCAGTGCCAACGGATGATCGCGGGCGTGCCCTCGCGTAGCCGTGCTCTGCGTCGTCCAGCGGGGGTAGATGTGAGCGACTGTCTTGATGCAACCCATGTCTTGCCGAACGTGCACAATGCATGTAGAAGTCGTGCGCCTCGAGTACGCGGCTCGATATTCATCTTGCTCACTTGGCAAATTTGGGATAGAATCAACCACGCATTGAGCCGTTGATGTTGACGTACTGCAGCAAGCTGGGTGAGGATCGCGCCGCCAAGTGGGGGGGCCAGGGAATATCATCGCGGGGTCAACCTCTCGGCTGCCGTCTTTTTTCCGATCTTCACTTCTACCCACAAGTAAAAAGTCCAGATATCTGCAGGTAGGGGCCATTCAGGGGCAGCTCGTCGGCGTTTGCAATGCTTGCGTAACCGGTGCTTGATCGCGTCGAAATCGCACCTGGCGTGCCTCCACTGATGCGTGGTAGGGCAGAAGCGGTCGTCGTTTGTAGCAGCGGTGTCAATGAAGTGCGCAATGTTAATAGTTGCTGCTTCCCTTCCACCTTCTGCGCCTGGAAGTGCCACATTTTCGGGCCATGCCTGAACGGAGGGACGAGCGTCGGGCAGATCGAAATAGCATCGCTTACCAGGGCCCTTACAGTTACCAGCAAGTCGTCGGCAAGCACGCCAAACCTCAGCTTCCAGTCTTGCTTCGTCAGCTTGTTGTAGTTCGTTACAATGCAGCTCACCTCGGAGGTCGCGTAATCGTCGTCGGAGTTTTTTGCAAGCAGCGCTGCATCGTCGGAGGTCGAGTGTATTCTTTAAGTCGCCCGTGAGGTTCTGCCAAGCGTTCGTGCGTTCATGAAGGGCGAATCGGCGGTGTTGAACAAGCTGCTGATACGCAATGTCGATCAGGGACTTCTTCGCTTCAAAATATTCCAGAGCTCGCGCTCGTATCATAGATAGTAGATGTTGCCATCCTGATTCCATCGTATGCCTTTCGGCCCCGTCCGCCATGTCACGGAATCCGTTCTCACTGAGGTAGTTTGACAGGTCCATCTCGATGTCGTCTCGAAGCTGCTTCGCCCAGTCTACGAACCTTTCGTCACTCCAAGCTAAGAATATGCGGGTGTAGTCCCACTGCGGCGTCTTCTGGGGCTTGTCGAAAGTGAGTGTGCAGTCCACGTCTACATATAGCATCATATGCTCCATAAGGCGTTGTGGTGGAAATGCTCTGAGTCTTTTGGTCAGTCGGAAGGCGATGTTATGGCGCCGTATTCTTGGTACATAGCGTATCGGCATCACGATAGAGTCGATGTAGCTAGTGTGTCCGCGGAACCCATGATAAACAGGGCCGCGCGAGTGGTGCGCATTCGTCGCGCACAGGGCGTAGTCCTTCATGAATGTGCGGAAAGCTTCTCCCGCATAGTGTTGCTCCCCGTGCGCATGTATAGCTATAGTGGCGTCGTCGTCGTCGTCGTCTGCGATGTGGGTACGCTCGAGGCTGTCGTTCAGGTCAGTGCCAATGAACACGCAGGTTCGGTTCGGCAAATTCGAGAGGATGTCGTGTAGGTAGGTCTGCATATTATATGTATATATATATATATATATGATAGCTTCGTTCTTGGAGGCGGTGGCACCTCGTTGCGATCGTTCTTGACGCGTGCAGCGCCTACCCGGCCTCGAAGAGCGGGTGTGGGCTGCCATATTTTTACAATTTGTGTTTTCCGAAACCAGCGTCAGGTCAGCCAAATATCCGTGCCGCAAGACTTGTTGCCTGTAGTGTTATTGTCGCTGCGGCGCCATCCAAACTTTAGCATGAGGAACTCGGCCGATGAGTGTGTCTCGTAGGGGGTCGTAGTCTTTGTCTGGGTTCCAGAGAAGAGCACGGCACCCATGTGTTCCATACCCCGAGAGATCTCAAGACGTTTGTCGTAATCCTGCAGAGACATCGGATTCCATGAGATGAGATGCATGTAGACTGCCAGTGTGTGACACCGAAGCCCGGCTCTCGGGACGTTGGGCATATCGTCCACGCTCTGGAGATCTCAGATAGCTCGAGCCAGAGCTATATACATACATATATATACACAATCACATTCTCAGCCCCCCCCCCCAGCACCCCGTCCCCTCAGCGAGCGATCGCTCCGATGATCATCCTCCTCCTCCTCGTCCTCCTCCTGCTCCTCCTACCCATCCTTCTCCCTCTCCTTTTCCTCGTTCTTCGCCTCCTCATCATCATCCCCCTCTTCCTCCTCCTTCTCCCACCCCTCACCCTCCCTATGAGCACTGCGCTCAAAAGTTTGGGACAGCGCATCGGGGCGACGGCCCCGTAACGACGCGATGTGCCGTGCAACAACGGGTTGGGGCGCGTCGCTTCGCTCCGCGGGGCGGGAGGCCACGGAGGGCTCGGGACGGTGACACGTCGGGGGCTGGGATGTGTCACTGCACCGACCTTGCAGTCGTGCTCCAGCCGATTGTTGCGTGGATTTCTGTCAATATTAAACCCGAAACGGCAAGCGAAAGACGAAGCGAATTCTAGACGTTTCGCGTATCCCCACCAGCCCATCCAGAAACGATGTCCAGGCGAGTTGAGAGGTGATCAGGGAAGTGCGGGAGCAAAGAGGGGGACGGCCGAACCGTGTGAAGGAGAGAGGGGCCGAATGAGAAAATTTGATGGACGGATGAGGGAGTAGGGAGAAGGAGGATGAATAGGATGAGGAGGAGGAGGAGGCGGAGGGGGAGGAGGAGGATGAGAAGGGATAGGAGGAGGAAGGAGGAGAAGGAGAGCAAGCAAAAGGGTCTGAGGTCTCTTGGATGCTTCTCGGAGCCTCTTGGCGTATCTCTTGGGCGTCTTGGGACGTCTTGGGGGTCTCTTGGCGGTCGGGGGTGCTCTTCGGCGTCTTGGGTGCCTCGGGGGGGCCTCTTGGGGCCGCTTGGGATCCGTTTGGGGGCCTCTTGGGGCCATCTTGGGGCCAGACCTCTTGGGGCCTCCTGGGCGCTTCTTGGGGCCATTTTGGAGGAGATCGATCAAACAAGAGGGGACCCCCCCCAAGAGGCCAAAAATGGTGCCAAAACCCTAGTAAAACCAATGATTTTGGCTTCCTCGCCGAGGCCGTTTTGGACGCTCCGACACCTCGTGGAACCCCCTGTCCAGGTGCAGGGGAGGGGGTAGGGGGAGGGGTAGACCCCTCCCCGAAGGGGAAGAAGGAGGGGTGGAAGAGGAAACTCCCTAAACCACCTACGCCCAGAGGGCTGGTGGGATTTCACGCGGATCTTTGGTTCGTCTTCGTTCGTGGCCTAATAAGAGTCCGCACGGGATTCACCTCGAAATCTGGAACGAAGATCTCCAGGACACGCCGGGCCCATCCTGTCGTTTTCCGAACGAGATCCGCTCTGCCACGTCGGCACCACGAGACGTGGACAGCGCGTCGCGCCGCAGCGTGGTGGGCCTGAACCGGCGGAGCGACACGCTGAGCCAAAGTTCCTGATCGAACTCGCCTCTCCCCCGAAGATGGCTGGTGGATCGGCGGCCCCCCATCCCCCACCCCCCCCTCCGTGTGTCTCTCTCGCACACACCAGACTTCAGGACTTGGTCTTTCCCATCGTACGTCTCCAGTCGGATCTTTTACTGTCTCCACATGGTGCTGCCGCTGCATCGTTGGCACATGTTCAGGGTCGGCGCTCTGCCCAGGTCGTTCAAAATGGCACTCTCCCCCCCGCGCGGGCCTCTTGTCTGGGTCCGCATCCCATTCCGACTGCGCATGACACGACGAGGTCATCTGGGGAATTTCAGGTCCGCCGTGACACGTGTCGGCGGAGACAGGGAAGCATCAGCGCAGTGGGAAGGGACAGGAGTGAGGGGTATGATGTCCTATCTGGAGCGAGCGCACGTGGCTTGTTCCTCCTCCCTTCTCCCCTCCTGCCTTCTTCCTCCTTCTCCTCCTCCTCCTCCATCCTCCTATTCCTCCCCGCAGCTCCCTCCCTCGTTCCCCCCACCCCGACAGAGAGAAGAAGGGGGAGGGAGGGGGGAACGACTGGACCGATGAAAGGCGACGGGAGCCCCCGCGCCGCCGTTGCGCGTGCTCCGAAGGAGCGCGTCATCTGCTACACCGCGGGGTTGCCGGCAGATGCCACACGTACGGGTACGGTGTACCAGACTATTTCAAGCGTCTTGCTTGATCCCAAACTGCTGTGGATGGGAAGAGGGAGGATGAAGAGGGGAAGGGTGATGAGGAGGCAACGTGCTGCAGGAAGGACAGGTGTTGTCATAGTTTTCCCACGCGCCTGTTCAAGGACGGATACCTATCGTAAGCCTCGAATCTCGCTCGCATCGATAAAAACGGGGCGAGACGGAGCGTCCGGACAGGCTTACAATTCTGAAGAGCGCAAACTTCATCTCTCCGACTGGGCACGCTTGTGATCTCTTGCAGCCTGGCCTTGCCATTCAGGTAAGCATCATCATGAGCTCCTCTGTCGGGCGTCGTCTGTCAGCAAGCGCCTCCTAACAGGACGCGTGGCGGGAGACCCGACACCAGTCCTCCCTGAGCGCGCAACAACAGCATCAATGCAAGAGCTTCGCTTCGTTGCGCCGTATCCTGGCGGCGCGCATGCCCTTAGCCTTCTCCGCGGCGGAAAACCTCCAGGTATCCGTTAATATGGCTGTCATGTTTCGTGGCACCATTCGGAATAACTCCACGTGTCTTCTGACCCATCTGGGCCACCGCGTCACGATGCTCAACGATGTACTTCACCAAGGCCTCGATGATGCGGGCAATTGAGATCCGGCAGCACCGCCTCCTAGATGAACCAGGATTGGAAACGGCCAGCCCTCTATCGCAAGAGACCGTGATCCCTTTCGGAGGCTGACGCTCGCCTTGAACAGAAGCATTGAACAAACTGGGCGTGACGATTAGGTTCTGCGAGGAAGCCTACTGACCGACACCTGTGAGGGTTAATCCTGGTGCGACGACATTGCATCGTAGCCAAGAACTTTCGCACGCGGGTATTTGAGGGACGCTCTTAGACCAACATGTGCGAAGACTATCACACAAACAGTCGGCAATGAGGTACGGTTGGGTCGATTTGAGACTGAGGGAAGCGCCTGTGCATTTCAGGTGCATGTCGTCAAGTGCCCTGCTCTGTGGCAGCTCCAGCCAGGATCTGCGCAACACGACTGAGGCGCCCTTTCTCCTGCATCTACATTACACAGGCCATGGAATCCATCATCTGAACCATCACGTGATGCAACATGGCGATGATGGACTGCAACGCCGCCGCAATCGACGCTGATGGGAATGTCCCGTGCACTCGCCAAGAATCACGTGTGCAACTCCCCGACATCGCTGTGGAGCAGAAGTGCTGGCACGCAGCTCCTCGATATCGCTCTGCCCAGCGACAAGGCAACGAGCCGCCGCATGTGTCGGGGAGAACTGCTCTTCCAGGTCGCCGAACGCCCAGCAGGTATCGGCGTCTGAACATATTGAGCAACGAGGCGGGCGCTTGGAGCGTGTGCCTCCCAGTTGCGCGGCCGCTTCTCAGTAAGAAGCGGCAGGTCGGAAATTGCAGGATCCGCAAGCAAAGTATCCGACAAGCGTCTCGAAAGCGGCCTCACGGCCTGCTGGCTGGCGCGTCGTGACACTCAAATCGATGCAGAGATCGGGGGCACTGTAGAGCCGAATGAGCACCTCCCGCGAAGTCCCCACGTGGCTTGATGGCGCATGGCTATGGAAGAGGAGCAGCGAGAGGATTCGAAGGGGCGCGAGGATGGAGAAAGGGGGGAGGAGGAGGAGGAGGAGGAGGACGAGGAGGAGGAGGAGGAGGAGGCGGAGGAGGAAGAGGAGGCGGATGAGGAGGAGGAGGAGGAGGATGAGGAGGAGGAGGAGGCGAAGGGAAGGAGGAGGAGGAGGCGGAAGAGAAGGAGGAGCAGGAGGAGGAGGAGGAGGAGGAGGAGGAGCATGAGGAGGAGGAGCAGGAGGAGGAGGAGGAGGAGGAAAAAGAGAACATAGCAGGAGCAAAGGGGCAAGAGGAGGAGGAGACAGAACAGAAAGAAGAAAAGTAGGAGGAATAAAAACAACACGAGGATACTGCAAAGAAGGAGAATCAGAATAACGAGTAACAGAAGGAGGAATCAAGCGGCTCCCAAACCTCCAGGGACCTCAAGAATGGAGGCACAAACGCCCTGAATGGAGGAAAAGCAACCTCCCGAATGGAGGTCGAACCTCCATGCTAGAGGTTTGGAACTTCATCCGTGAAAAATAAGGAAGAGGGAGGGAGAGAGGGAGGGAGGGAGGGAGGGAGGGAGGGAGGGAGGGGAGGGAAGCAAACAGGGAGGGAGGGAGGGAGGGAGGGCAGGGAGGAGGAGGAGGCGGGATGGAGTGAGGAGGAGGCGGGATGGAGGGGGGAGGAGGAAGAGGAGGAGGAGGAGGAGGAGCAGGAGGAGGTGGAGCAGGAGGAGGAGGAGAAGGAGAAGGAGACCGAGGAGGAGGAGGAGGAAGGAGGAGGAGAAGGAGGAGGAGGAGGAGGAAGCGGGATGGAGGGATGAGCATAAAGAGGAGGAGAAGGAGGAGGAGGAGGAGGAGGAGGAGGCGGGGGGGAGGAGGAGAAGCAGGAGGAGGATCAACGTGGGTCCCTGCTGGGCTTTCTCACCCACTTCGCGACGCACCACCGGGGCAGACGGCACAATACGGCGAGAAGTGGCGACTGCGATCGCTCTCAGGCGATTGCAAGTGAGTCGCCTGTTGATGGCCTCTCCAACCTCCAACCTTCCCCTCCTCCGTGCCCACCCATTTTCAGCCCCGTCTCCCCCCACCGGGCCCATCTAACCCTCTCAGCACCCTCCTCCTGTGGTGGCGAATGGGTGCGGCAGTATCAGGGGATGGTAGACGAGCTGCGCGCACCGACGGCCGTCCTGGCAAGGGCAGGGCGGCCGCGCCGCCAACTACCGTCAGCCGACCAGCTGTTGCAGCATGCAGCCGTCAACGGACCCCACGGCCGCCCTCCGGCACCGCTACCCCAGCGCTCCGTCTGGCCTCACATCTCCACCTGTTCCCCAACGTTTGCAGTGCTGTGCACCGTCAGCAGCAGTCGCGGTCCTCGACCGCCTGCTACAATACAACCGCACACATCCGCGCCACCGCCACAGATAGCCGAGACCACACCCACGCACGGTGGACCCCCCCCCCCAAGCAGCTGCCGCTCCCATGATCTGGGCACCCTGCTCCTGCCTCGGCGGGGGGAGGGCACCAGCCACGGGGGATGGTGCCTGCTCACGGTCGGGGGGCTCGAGCACCCGCGGGGGGTGCGGCCTCTCTGCCATCCGCCTCGGCGAGCGTGGCCCGGTGCCTCGCGCCACCACCACGGGGGGGGAGGGCCCGCGCCTCCCTCGGGCCCGGTGGAGACCCCCGCAAGGCGTCCAAGGAGGCCGACGTGCTGGGCGCTCTGCGCCCGCCTGCAGGCGGGGGGCCCCAGCGCGTCGGCCTCCTCGGACGCCTGCGGGGGCTTTCTGTGGGCAGAGGGTGAGGCCCCCGGGGGTCTCGTTGCGTCCTCGGAGGGACCTTGTCTGTCCCGTCGCGGTCCTATCCGCGTCGAATCCGTGTCGAATCCATGTCGGACTCGTCGGATCAGTGTCGAATCCGTGTCGAATCCGCGTCGAATCCATGCCAAGTCCGCGTCGAGTCCGCATCAAGCCTGCGTCGGGCACAAGAAAATACACAAAATTCGGGGGACAGGCGAGGTCCCCCGAAGATGCAACGTAACTTGGGCCTTTCCCCGCTGCGAGCGGCACCCCACACTGGGCCCTGCGGAAAAATCTTCGCACCACACCTCTCTTGAAGCTGCCACCGCCACCCCCACCGCTTTTTCAGCCTCCCAACCTCCCTGCACAGTGCCCTTGCCTACCGCCTTGCCAGCCTCAACCGCAACCCCATGCGGGAGCACACAAGGGCACCGCAGGCGAGGGGGCCCCTGGGCGCTCTCGAGGGCGCTGGCCCCAGGTGGCCAGTTGACCCGAAGGAGAGAGGACCTGGTACAGCCACAAGAAGGCCTGGCCCCCAGGAGCCCCGCCCACTTTTGCACTGCCGCCACGCCACAGGACTGCTGCCGCCACCACTCCCTTCTTCTTGCTTTCCTCATGAGGTTACGAGATGAGGCATTAAGATGATATTCTCTCCTCCTCCCTCCCTCCTGTCTGCGGGCCCTCGGTCCCTTTTTTTCCCAATTTTGGCGAGAGCGGAGTCCACCGCCGCTTTACTGTGGAGAATTCCCCCCCCCCCCCGCTTCCTCCGAACCCGGGGTCCCCCCCCCCTCCGAAAATCCCCCCTGCTGGACCCCCCCCCCTTTCCCCGCCGCAAAAACCCCCCCCTAACCCCCGCCCCCCCACCCCCCCCTCCTCCAGAAAACCGAGGGGGGTCACTACCGGTTCGAACCCCCCCCTCCTCCCGAAAACGAAGGGGGGTCACACCAGTTCGAACCCCCCCCTCCCCCTCCCACTCCTCCCGAAAACCGGAGGGGGTTCACTACCGGTTCGAACGCCCCCCTCCCGAAAACCAGGGGGGGGGATCACTAGTGGTTCGAACCCCCCCCCAAAAAAAAACAGAGGAGGGGGTCACTACCGGTTCGAACTCCCCCCCCCGCAGAAAACCGGGAGGGGTCACTACCGGTTCGAACACCCCCCCTCCTGAGCTGTCCCACTGTCCACCCCGCCGCTGTCCCACTGAGCTGTCCCATTGTTCCCACCACTGTCCCCACTGTCCCCGCACCACTGTCCCTACCACCACCGTCCCCGCAGTACCACTGTCCCCACCACTGTCCCAGTGTCCCCCACTGTTCCCACCATTGTCCCCGCTGTCCCCACTAGTGCCCCCACCAGTGACTCACTGTCCCCACTGTCCCCACCACTGTCCCACTGTCCCAACTGTCCCCACCACCGTCCCCACGGTGCCACTGTCCCACCACCGTCCTCACCACCGCCTTCACCACTGTCCCCACCACTACCATCCCCACCACTGTCCCACTGTCCCCACCACTGTCCCGCTGTCCCCTCACCATTGTCCCCACCACCACCGTCCCCACCACTGTCCCAGTGTCCCCACCACTGTCCTCACCGTCCGGACACCACTGTCCCCACCACCACCGTCCTCACCGCTGTCCCAGAGTCCCCACCACTGTCCCGCTGTTCCGAGGAGCGGGAATCGTTTGCCGGCGGCGAGGCGGGGGGGGGTCGAACCGATAGTGACCCCCCCCTTTTCCTGATGCACGGGGGGGGGGGCGGGGGGAAGAGGGAATTCGAACCGGTAGTGACTCCCCCACGATTTCAAGGGGGGGGGGGGTCGGGTTGGGAACCCCCAGTGACCCCCCCAGTTTTCCGCCAGCAGCGGTAGAACACGCTCTTTCCAATTTTGTCTACTCATTCGGCGTTTCGCCATTGTGCGGAAAGGGGGGGAGGGGGGGTCTGGCTCTGGACCTCTGCTGAATGCGACTGTTGAAAGCAGTGCGTCCTATGGGGGGACTCCACCTGCTCCGAACAGGCGCTGAACACTGCAAAGATCTACTCCAGGGGAGGGGTGGGGGGGGGAGGTGTTGCGAGGGCCCGCGCCGATCGGCCAAGCAATGAACAAGACAACGATCACAAAGCCGACATGAACCAGGAACCAGGAGGAGGGAGAAAGGAGAACAAGGAGGAGGGGAAGACCCCTGCACCCCAACGCTCTGAGACAGATGGCGGCGGAGAGCGTCCGGAGCAGCCGTGCGTGCCGCTCCAGATACAGCCTGCGGGCGGCGTGGGGGCTCTCGTTCCGTGTCCTGCGCTCCCAACTGTTCCACCCCTTCTCCTCCCTGAACCCTCGTCCCTTCGCATTCCTCCTTCCTTCTTCTCCCTCCTGCCTCCACCCTTCTCCTCCTCCTCCTCCTCCTCCTCCTCCTCCTCCTCCTCCTCCTCCTCCTCCTCCTCCTCCTGGGCTCGACATAGGAGGCGGACACGATGTCTCCGCCCCAACGCTGGGCCGCAGCCTCGCGTGGAGACGTCCTGACTCCACGCGAGACAGCGGCGGGGTGGGGCATTGCCCACCCCGCGGCCGCCAGGAGCAGGCGGCGGCCGCGGCCGGCGGGGCCCGAGGGGGAGGGAGGGAGGGGGGAGGAGAAAAGAAGCGAAAAAGAAGAGAGCCGGCTCACCACGTGGTGCACAAGGAGCACCACCAACCCGCCGAAAGCGGGCGGCCCCCATGCCTCCCTGGCTCTACCAGCACCAGGGGACACAGGCTACCCCACGTCACCGTGCGGGGCACACGGCGCGTGTTTCCGCGCACGGGTAGCCTGGCCTGCTGCTCCCCCCAGTCCCCTTGCCCAAGGGGGACAGAGCAGGACTCCCCACGAGCCTGGCCGAAGCCAGACCCCCCTTCCACACCCTGGCGCGACCGGGGAGTCGCCGGGCCAAGACAGTGGAATGGACCCGATTCGGCCGCAGCCGAATCGGGGTTACCGTTTAGGTCCGAAGACAGGGGTCGGTGCCCCCACTGCCGAAGACACCCACCCACCCACGGCAATGCCGTAGGCGGGTGGGCGGTTTCGGCAGTGGCGCAGCCCCCACACAGGCCACGACTAAGCGGGTTTCAGTTCCCCCGGACGCCGGCAGGCGCCGCCCACACCAACCGGCAGCCCGCCCGGGGGCATCCTCCTCCCCCTCCTCCTCCTCCTCCTCCTCCTCCTCCTCCTCCTCCTCCGCCTTCTCCTGCTCCTGCTCCTCCTCCCCCTCCTCCTCCTCCTCCTCCTCCTCCTCCTCCTCCTCCTCATGCTCATCCCTCCATCCCGCTTCCTCCTCCTCCTTCTCCTCCTCCTTCCTTCCTCCTCCTACCTCCTACCTCCTGCCTCCTGCTCCGATCCTTCCTCCCACCTCCTCCTCCCCACCTCTCTCCTCTCCTCCTCCTACCTCACCACCATCCTCATCCCCTCCAACGCTTCCTCCTCCTCCTTCTCCTCCTCCTTCCTCCCTCCTAATTCCTCCTCCCTCCCACTCCTCCTCCTCCTGCCTCCCTCCTCCTCGCCTCCTCCTCCATCCTTCCTCCACCTCCTCCTCTTCCCTCCTCCTCCCTCCAACATCCCTCCCTCCCTCCATCTCGCCTCCACCCCCTCCATCCCGCCTCCTCCTCCTCCTCCTCGGCCCTCCGTTCTCCCCCCTCCTCCTCCTCCTTCCTCCTCCTCCCTCCTCCTACCTTTTCCTCCTCCTCCTCCTCCTCCTCCTCCTCCTCCTCTCCTCTCATCCCTCCCTCGAGCTCCCTCCCACCCTTCCTCACCCCTCCCATCCCCTCCATCCCTCCCTGTCTCCCTCCCTCCCTCCCCCATCGCCGTGCCCTCCACGCTCAACATGTTCAACCTACAGAGACTAGGTGTTCTTCTAATGTTCGACATCCGCTCGCGCGAGTGGCTCTTTCGGCCGCCTTCTGTCGCGCCTCGGGCGGTGGCGCCGCCGTCTGACTGCATCCAGCGGGGAGCAGCCGACAATCTGGAGCCCATTGAATCGATTATACGCAAGAGTGACCCTGGGCAAGAGTGACCTTTGGTGCGCAGCTTTGCGGGGCCGCGGAGGGGCCAAACCAGGGCGCGCAAGCCGCTGCTACCGCTTCGCGCTCAACGATCGGGGGACCCCATCGGGCCGGCACCAGAGGTCACTCCGACGAAAGGTCAATCCTACATGTGCAGTCGATAGGAATACGATGGGCACGTGCAACACGAGTGTGGCAACGGATGACGAATTTCGCGCGACTCTTCAACTGCGACTTTTTTGATGCGAAAAAAGATAAGGGTACTTCGTGCTGACGAGCGCAGGGGGGAAGCAGTGACAGTCGGAGCCCCCTTGAAGGCTTCGACCCGGCGCTCCGGTGTTACTCCGCTTGTGCAAGGCCAGCCAACCGCCGCACGCACCTGTCTCATCTGTCCACATCCCGAGCAGCTCGATCGAAACATAAAGAGACCTGCTCGAATTTGCATCCTTTCCCCTCCATCACACCTCCCCTTCATCCTCCTGCGTCCTGCACCCTCCTGATCCTCCTCCTCCTCCTCCTCCTCCTCCTCCTCCTCCTCCTCCTCCTCCTCCTCCTCCCCTCCTCCTCGCTCCTACTCCTCCTCCTCCTCTCCTCCCTCCTCCTCCTCCTCCTCCACCTCCTCCTCCTCCTCCCTCCTCCTCCTCACTCCTCCTCCTCCATCTCCTCCTCCTCCTCCTCCTCCTCTCCTCCCCTCCTCCACCTCCTCTTCCTCCTCTTCCCTCCTCTTCCTCCTCCTCCTCCTCCACCTCCTCCTCCTCCTCCCATCCCTCCCTCCCTCACCATCCCACTCCCTCACTCCTCACCACCCTCACTCCCTCCCTCCCATCACCTCCCTATCCCTCCTCCCTCCCTCACCCACCACCCTCCCTCCCTCCCTCCTCCTCCTCCCTCCTCCTCCTCCTCCTCCTCCTCCTCCTTTCCTCCTCCTCCTCCTCCTCCTCCTCTCCTCCTCCTCCTCCTCCTCCTCCACCTCCTCCTCCTCCACCTCTCCGTCCACCTCCTCCTCCTCCTCCACCTCCTCCTCCTCCTCCTCCTCCTCCTCCTCCTCCTCCTCCTCCTCCTCCTCTCCTCCTCCCCCTCCTCCCTCCTCCTCCTCGCTGAAAGCACGGCTGTATCTGGCGATGGTGTCGGCTCTGCATCTGCATGTTCCTCTTCGCGATTCGACGGTGATTTCCTGAAGCAGTTGCTGAAGTCGATTGGAGATCGGCAGCGGGCTTCCTACTCGGTACGGCAGTGGAACCGCCTTACGACCCGGTTCAGGCGTGCCTGGTGGGGGACACCTGAAGAGTTTCGCGGGTCTTTCTCTTCCCTTGCGGGCGACCTGGAGTTTGAGCAGTTTGTCTTGGTCTTCGAGACTCAGTCCGAATACTATCGAGCAGATGTTGCGCTGGCTGGCGTTTGAATCACTTTCGAACTTTCGTCGTAACGCTATGGGTCTGGAAGCTTATCCCACAATGCTCATAGATCCGGCATTTTCTTCACGCTCTCGTTAAACTCGTTTAACATTTTGGTCATCATCGGCAAGTAGGGCCTCGTGTGCCCGCCATTTTCATGCCTGCCCTCTAATCCCCGCGGGAGCTTAGTGTGGCAGTCGCCTACAGCAAAAACAAAAAAACTCATCCTCCTCCTCCTCCTCCTCCTCCTCCTCCACACCTCCTCCCTCTCCTCCTCACTCCTCCTCCTCCTCCTCCTCCTCCTCCTCCCTCCTCCTCCTCCTCCCGCCTTCTCCTGCTCCACCTGCGCCTCCTGCTGCTCCTCCTCCTCCTCCTCCCTCCTCCTCCTCCACCTCCCCTCCAGCTCCACTTCTCCTGCTCCTCTTCCTGCCCTGCTCCTGCTCCTGCGCCTGCGCCTGCTCCTGCTCCTCTTCTTCTTCTTCCTCCTCCTCCTCCTCCTCCTCCTCCTCCTCCTCCTCCTGCTCCCTTCTCGTGCCGCTGCCCTCCACAATCCCACCAGCCCTTTGGGCGTGAGTGGTTTAGAGAGCCCGCTCTGTTCTCAACCCCCCCTTCGTCCCCTTCGGGGAGGGGTTTACCCCTCCCCCTACCCCCTCCCCCTGGGCCTGGAGAGGTCCCTCCGCGGGTCGCCGGAGGGTTTTTTTTCGACTCCTCGGAGGGCTAAAAAACGACACCCCTCACGAGGATTCTGGCCCCGACGGGGGGAGGGAGAAAAGTGCTCCCCCCATCTGTGATCGATCGACCGACAGATGGCCCCAAGATTCCTCCCAGACCCCTCCCAAAGAGCCCCAAGAGGCCCCAAAAGGCCTCCAAGAGGCCCCCAAGAGGCCCCCAAGAGGCCCCCAAGAGGCCCCAAGAGGCTCCCCCGAGGCACCCAAGACGCTCCTGGAAGCCCCTGGGGCCGCCAAGAGGCCCCCAAGACGCCCCAAACGGCCTCCAAGAGGCTCCCAAGAGGCCCGAAGAGGCTCCCCCAAGGCACCCCAGACGCTCCTAGAAGCCCCTGGGGCCGCCAAGAGGCCCCCAAGACGCCCCAAAAGGGGACGAGGTGCCCGAACGCCTCACGCCACGAGGAGCCCGAACGACTCACACCAGGACGAGGGGCCCGAACGACTCACACCACGAAGAGCCCGAACGACTCACACCACAAGGAGGGGCCCGAACGACTCACACCAGGACGAGGCGCCCGACCGACTCACACCACGAGGAGCCCGAACGACTCACACCACGACGCGGGCCCCGAACGACTCACACCACGAGGAGCCCGAACGAGTCACACCAGGAGGAGGGGCCCGAACGACTCACACCACGAGAAGCCCGAACGACTCACACCAGGACGAAGAGCCCGAACGACTCACACCACGAAGAGCCCGAAAGACTCACACCAGGAAGAAGGGCCCGAACGACTCACACCAGGACGAGAAGCCCGAACGACTCAAACCACGAGGAGCGCTTTCTCTCCCTCCTCCTCCGCCTCGTCCTTTTCCCGCTCCCACCACAAGGAGGATGTACAAGGAGGCGGGAGGAAGGAGGAACAAGGGAGATATGCGGGGGCAGGCGGAAACACGCCTGAAAAACACGACTGTCGGCATGCTTCGCAAGAGTTGCTGTTTTGAGATGGGCTGGTGGGGATACGCGAAGCGTAAAGAATTACTCAATATGAAGTCTACTCTCCCTCTTCCCCTGATGACGGTTTGAAAGTGGCCGCCCCCCCGCGCACTGTTTTTACACACAGGTTTCCCCGGAATTGGGTTTTCGCCTGCATTTGTTTTCAAAATGCTGC